TCATCAATCACAATTATGTGTTCGAAATCTAAATTGATTATTTATAGCTATACGAATTGATTTTCCTTTGAACATGTCATATGATATTCATCGTCTAAGAAGACGAAAGAACGCAAAAGAATTCTTTTTTTCGTTCTGTATGTCATTTCGTAGATGACATGAGGCATCGAAAGAGTTAATATATAATCTGACAGATAATATAACATATTCACTCGCATGTGCAAATTTGTACGTTGTTGGGAACAGAAAGAGAACAATTTATATTAACTGAATAAAATGGAGTAAAATAATTTTCACATATATTTGACAGTAACTTTAATGATAAAAAAAAATATTTTAACAGATAAAAAATATTTTAAAAAATAAGAAAGATTAAGTTGTTCTTCATTTCTGGCAAAAGAGACTTGAAGTAAAAATAGTGGGTTTTTATTGGTAACAGATCATATTTTCTCATAATTGGTTTTATGTCGAGGCTTTTTTATGATTTGTTACGAATCTTTGATAAAGCTATTTGATTCTCCATTATCCCCTTTCAATGTTTCTTGTTGGTTAAAATACATTTTTTTTGTCATTAAAGCTTGTTTCAAGTATACATGAAGACTATTTTACTCTATTTTATTCAGTTAATATAGATTGTTCTCCTTCTGTTCCCAACGACGTACAGATTTGCACATGCGAGTGAATATGTTATATTATCTGTCAGATTATATATTAACTCTTTCGATGCCTCATGTCATCTACGAAATGACATACAGAACGAAAAAAGAAATCTTTTGCGTTCTTTCGTCTTCTTAGACGATGAATATCATATGACATGTTCAAAGAAAAATCAATTCGTATAGCTATTAATAATCAATTTAGATTTCGAACACATAATTGTGATTGATGAGCGCAAGAGAGAGCGATTAAATTGTTTTTTTTTTATGCTCATGCAAAACGCAAGAAAATGCCGAGATTGAAAGAGTTAATGTAAACACATATTATGTTCGATTTATTTTCTACATGATTGTGATTATAGAATGTATATATATTTATCTTTTCTGCAACACCATAGCTTACTTACATTGATGAAAAAAGGCGGAGAAAACATCAAAGAAATTAGAAAGTGAAGGAAATAAGGTGATGTCATTGGTGAGTGACGAATAATTTTTCGAAGAGAGAAAAAAAGAGAAAGAAGATAAGTGAAAAGAAGCCGTTCGTAACAACATATTTTCTTGTTTTAGGTACTATTTTTTTTGCTCAGTGATGTCGTATAAGCGAATGGTGAATGTAGCTCATTAATTAATCAGTTTTATGATAATCTTTTCTCTGCTAGTGGTATTCTCGATGTCAATGACACATCAGTATCTTCAGAAGAAATTTCTAATAATGTTTTACAGAAAATTAAAAATAATGGAAACAAGGATCAGATGAATATCGAAAATGTTTACTTAATTCCTCTTTGATCGAAACCTGTCAACGAATATTTCAATCCCAAATTATTAGCAGGTCTATATCCAACTTTATTTTGTTATGGATATGGAGCACCTGGAGATCAATCGCGTCCAGTTGAAGTAGAATTAAAAGAACATATACGTTATCTATTATCTTACAACGATCGTCGTTTTGAAACAAACCACAGTTTTATATTTGTGGTCTTCAATCTATTGCAACGACGTGATGCCTGCTTTCATGCTCAACTGATAGCAACAAAACCTTACTTTCGAACATCTGCTGAAGAAATTCAATCTTTGAATAGTAAAGACATTGAAATGGCTCTTGACAACAATTTCAAAAGAACATATAGTGCAGAATCAAACAGTACATTAAACAAACTGCTGCAACATATTAAAACTATTGGAGGCCGAGTTATGGGTTCAGCATATTCACGAACAGCTTTATGTACTCAAATTCATGCACTTATATATAATCAAGGGCTGTCCAGCATTTTTCTTACTTTAAATCCCGCCGATATCCACAGTCCCGTAGCATTGTAATTTGCTGGTGTTAAACTTGACCTAGACAATATTCAAAATCAACACCTTATGAATCCTTACAAAAGAGCTGAAATTATAGCATCTCATCCAGTTGCTACTGCCAAATTTTTTCATTTATTGATTACCAATATTTTAAATACTATGATTATTGGTGGTGTTCTTGGACCAATAAAGGCTTATTTTGGTACTGTTGAAAGTCAAGGACGAGGTTCACTTCATTTGCATCTTCTTATTTGGCTTGATCATGATATGAAACCAGCTGATATGAAACAAAAGATTCAAAATGCTGATTTTCGTGAAAAGTTGAAAGCATATTTAGAAGACATCATCAAAGAAGACTTAGATGAATTCAAGGACAAACAACTCTTCGAAAATTTAAACGGTATAAAACATTTTGTTTTTATTTGAATATCATCTTCTGCTTTTATATTATAGTGCCAAGATCATTCGATACTCCTCCACGATTATCACAAGGTAATATCTATGCGGCTTTACGTACTATTGATTTAACAGGTCTAGCCGAAAATATAAATAAATCTCCTGTTTGGTC